ATATTTGTAGGCATTAATTGTACGTCATACTCTAAATTAAAGGACAAAAAGAAAAAATACTTAAATTTATCATAATCCCGATTCACAACATTCTTCTAAAGATTTTCATAATTCAAATAAGAATTCGGATTAGATTTTATTGTTAAGATCATTTATTTAATAAAATGGTGGTAACAAGTATAAGCTCAAGCTGCATCGTACGGATAAAGTTTAATTAGCACTTCATGTCCGCCTTCGAATTTGAAATACATGAAATGAAAGAAAAAGATATAAGAAAATAAATCATAATTTCTAGCGAACTCATCCAAATATTCGAGAAGTAGATCAAATGCTTCGGTGGAGTCATCATCTTCTCCCATTTGGTATGTTGCGAGGGCTATCGCTATCTTCTAAAACTCATTTATGCTATGTTAAATAAATATATTTTTTATATATTCTGGTTTATGTTTTGACTAAAACTCGTTAATACTATGTATGACATTTAATTAGTTGTTTTAAAGCAGTAAAACAAAATTGTCAATCTAAATGGTTTATGAAATTAGTAACAAATCCATTCAGAATATAGGAAACTCAAATTTCATGCAAATTAATAGAGACTATACATTCAAGTATTCAAAGTTACCAAATGGGTGGTGGTTTAATGATAACACAAGGGGTTTGGTTTCTTTGTGCCCCGGATTCAAACCTTCTTTGAGATGGAGAGTTATTCCTTAAATCAGAATATCCAAAAACTGTCTTCAGATACCGAAGAGATTATGAACCAAAAGTTCAGATCTCCCACAATTTATCATAAAAATATATATATATTCAAAGTTTTATATATTACGTGGTGAATGTTGTCCAATATATATACTCCAATATGGATCATCCATTTGTGGATAGCTAAAGTATTCCTTTTTCGGTCGAAAGATAAATTATTCTCTTTAAGAAAAAAAATTCGTTTCTTATAAAAATTTAAATTAAATAATGTAAGCGATCCAAAAAAATTGTTCTTTTTCCAATTGTTCTCAGACGCCCTAAAAATCAAGTTGTTTTAGAGTGACTTCCTTGCATAAATTTAAATTCACTGATTCACATAACGTGTATGTGATATATGACTAATCAAAACGTATTGTAAGAACGGAAATAAATTCAACTATGGTAATGTCCATGCGAAGTACTGGTCCCAAAGTACATTAATTTGCATACATAATTTTGCAGATTTTGGACTTCACATGAGGAGTCCACATCTCTTTATTTTTTCAGAAATAATTACATATCAATAAAACTCTGTTTAAATCTAATATGTT